AACACCCCCTTGGCTGTGCACGGCTGCCAGGACACAAACTGTTCCCTGTTTATACCCTGGTTTTTGTTCCTCCACAACATCAGCATCCAAATATCACAAAGACTTACAGGCTTTCCCAAAAGGAAAGCACAGTCAGTCTAAGGGATGTTATTAGCAGAGGGTGAGGAGCCCTGGAAGGGCACAAGATCAGACATGACTTGGAGAGGTTTCCTGTGACTCTGTGAACGGCCCAGCAGAAGCCAAGTGCTCCCATCTCCCATCCAGCCTCAGCACTGCCCATGTGGCCCCCAGGAAGGCCAGGCTGCACTCAGGTTTTGCTCAGGTCTTCCCACACGACAGTCTTTGTTCCATGACCTAAATGAAATCAATTTTACAACAGTTCTCCCCAGGACACTAATCTTATTCACTCACCCATCATCTAAAAGATTATACCTGCTCTCCAGCTGTGGGGCTCTGGGAGGAAGCTCAAGGGATTTCTGAGCAATGAGGGGCTTATTTTTAATACAATTCCTTGATGATCCCTCACGAATTAGGGAGGGGGTGTGTGTATCTTTTCAATCAAATAACTGTGCTTGAAAACACGTTTGGAAAAAATCCCCTCCAGTTCATTTGATCTTGCACCATGAGGTACTGTCAGATTGAAGTTGCAAAGGTGAGAAGTGGGAAGACCCTCAGAGTCGGTCCCTGGGGGAAGAGAGCTGACTGTACAGAGTCTGGCAGATCACCTGAGCTCAGGTGTAACCATGCCTCAGCCACCACCTTTGTCTTGGTGAAAGGTTCAGCTGTCAAATGATGTAAGTCAGGGCTTCCTGCTATGAGCAGCAGATCCCATTTTGGGACGTCAGTGCTGACAAAAACTGCACACACGGCCCAACAGCAAGAGAGAGCAAGTGCCTGTGCTTTTCCTTTTTATAAAGTCCTCTCAGCCTGAGAGTGGGCTGTATTTCTGTGGGGTTTTTTTCAAGGAACAAGTTAAAGCTCAGAAACCCCAACCCAGCCCTCTGAGCAGTCAAAGTATCTCTCCCTGCAGCCCACACAGGTCCCTGGTCCCAGGCAGGAAGGGGAATTCATCCTGCTGAGAAAGCAGCTCCCACAGACCTCACCTCTTCCCAGCTCTGGGAATGGCTGGGATAACCACAACACCTTCACACACAGACCCAACCTTGACATTAACTCCAAATATGAGAGTTCAAGCAAACTGTCCCAAAGCAAACAGGCTCTTATGGTTCATATTGTGAGTAAAATTCCTCTTCTCTCTGATCACACAACGCAAGGAGTGAATAAGGCTGAAATACAGCTACAGTATGTGCTTTGCATGTATCCCAGAAAGATGTGATGGAGGGAATTTAGGATTGTAAGATGGAATGCAAGATGGAACAGTAAGTCTGTAACTTAGAGTGAGAATAATCCTTTTAAAAACATCTTCCAGAACTGTTAATAGGGAGACAGGTTGTTAGGGCAAGTAGGGAAGGTTTTCTTTTGAAATGCAGAGGTTGGGTATCAAAGAAGGTTCAGCAACATACACAAGAGGGAATGGTCAGGGCACCACCTCAGCACAAATGCTTCATCTTAAAATCTATAAGAGCACTCGGTATTACCTCATTTTCTTATGTATAAAAGAGGCAAAGGATATAACTAATTCAGAGTTACCCTACTAATCACAGTAAGTAATAGAGACATATATTACTTAACTTGCACAGAAAACCCCAGCTCATCTCTTCATTCTCTGATCATCTCAGGTTCCACCATGCCAAGAGGTACAAAGTCAAACATGCACAGCCAGCAGCTGTTCCTCACAGTTCCTAGGATGCTAATTACATTGCCATCTTTTGGGGATATTCTAAATTCAGGCCTGCTAAGAGAGTCTGCACTGAAGTGGGGCCTCACACAGGAGATGTGCAGCACAAAGCACTTTGCTCCTGCCTCCATCCTCTACCCAGATCGATGACCAGCACAGGGCTGCTCTCAAACAGCCCCTTTTTCACCACCACAAATACACAAACTGTAAACTGCAGCCAGGAGGCAGCTCAGAATGAATGGGCCCAAAGCAAAAACTGTAACAGCAGCCCAGAGTTTCCCTGAGCGTTTCAGGCCAGAAATAAAACCTGTGCTCCCCCTGCCTCAGAGACTTTATTCTGGGAGAAAATGGATCGTGGTTTCCTACAGCACCTGTTCTAATTATGTTCCCTTTGATCAGAGAAGGAGATGGGTCCTGTGCAGAGCATGCAGAGATCTTTCACTGCCTGTGAAAGTGGCACTGCTTCTCCCCAGCTGTGAGACGGATACCGAGTGCCAGTCGGGAACAGCAGGAGAACAGCCAGGTGAGGATCACATCCCAAGGCACAAGTTGCTCATCACATGCTTTTTGGAGGAAAAAAAAGTACGTGCACATCTGTGTTTGCACACTTGTGTGCTCAGGTGCCTTGCTCTGAAACCTTCAGGAGAGTCAACTGGCTCCAGGCTGGAGTCCTTTGCCTGCATAACAGCTGCAAAATCAGGTCCTTGGAAGCAAAACCAACCAAAAACCTTGCAGAACAACTGAACTTCCCACCACAAACCATCACTGTTCCTGTATCAGGGAGAAGGGAAGGTACTGCGCAGTTAAAGTCTTTCCTTTTAGAACATTCCTATTAAGAGCCACGAGGCATATCAGCACCTATCTGTTGTTTCCTAACTCTCCTGTCTCCCTTTTTTCAGGTGCTTTGCACAGATCAGTTTGGAGAAGCTGGCACACCTGTCTAGAAGCTTGAAGGTGTATTCAGTCCTGCTGCCTCTGTTATTTTAATCTCCATATTATGCAGACACTGTTGCCTCCCTGGCTCACCTGGCAGCCATCAGCCTTCCCCTTTGCTTGGTGCAAAGCTGAGTAAATGTGACCCTGCACATAGGAAAACTGTCACATGGTACGTGCAGCACATGCACAGAGCCCTGGTAATACCAGCAAAAGTGAAGCACAGCCCCACTGCAGACCAAAAAAAACCCCTTATTTTAAAAAAAATTAAGTTCCTTTCAACCCAGGATATCTTTTCCTGATTAAAGCAATTATAAGAAACCAAATGTAGGGTTTTACAATGTACCACAAACATTTGTAGAACTCTGAATTTCATACTTCTCTTTACTCAGAAGCAAAAAACAAGTCTTGGATCAGAGCAGATGCGAAGAAGTCTGTGTATCTCCTTCCAAAACCACTCATCCTCTTACTGAAAGATCTCCACATCAACCACATCCTTTAAACACATGTATTTATCTGCTAAATTCACATCTGAAGAGGAAAAAAAGATACTCTTTCACATAATAAAGTTACTTCCATCCCTTTTTTTGCTATGTTAGTAAGAGTGGCAATGGCAACATTTCTGCAGGTGACAACACCGTGCCAAGAACCCAAATCCCCCGAAACTCAGACAGCGTGGGTGTTGTGTACTGTCTGGCCCCTGACTGAGCATCCCTCTGCTACAAGAGTGCATTATCTCTGCTCCCAGAGCATGTTTGCCACTTGTGCCTCATCCAGAAGGAAAGCAGTGGCCACTGCATTACTTCCCACGCACAGAAGTGGCTGATTAGGAAACGATCTTTAAAAACATGCTCAAAAACCAAAAGAGGGTGTCTGAGAGAGACACCCTCCCTCCTTCCATAACAGCAGCTGAGACAGAGCCACAGGCAGAACAGAAACACGAGCACCTGAGTTTCAGAACCAAATCTGAGGTGCAGCATCTGTTGAGGGAACACAAGAAACTCATCATGGTCCGTCTTCTTAGGAAGGGCTCAGGTTCTGAAAGAGAAGCTCCCTCACTGTTACCTGTCCCCATCACACCTGTGGCAAGATCTTTTGGTACTCTGCATAGGAACACACACATCCCTTTTCCCAGCACCTCCCTGAGCAGCCACTGCAGCCCCACCACCCCCGAAACAGCAGCTGGGCAGGACTGTTTGCTCCACTGCTTGCTCCATGTGGCATCACTCAGGGGACATCTGGGGACGTGTCTCCATCATCTGCCCTTGTTAATAGCCATAAAGTCACTGCCTCCCTACCTCCAAGCAGGAATTAGCTCCTCACGTAACACCTAAGGAGAATACACCAGGGACATCACTAAATGCTTCCGGGGATTTCCTGGGGCACATGGACGTTGTTACAACACTGAGACAGAGAAGCCTTCGGGAAAGGGAAGTTTTCAGCTTATGCTTTCCACACCAAGACGAGTTTGTTTAGTTCCTAAACATGAATGAATGACATACTGTGATTGTATACTACACTATGTAATACTCACTCTGGTTTCCCCTGCTGCCTACTCCGGTCACACTCTGAAAGCAGCAGGGCCTCTGCCAAAATCAAAGCCCCGTTTCAAGCCCATTGGGTGAAGGGAACAAACAGGAGGCTCTTGTGCATAATCCCAAAGTGTTTCTCAGAGAGTTTTACATACATTCCAAACCCACTATAATTATAATTTAAAATACTGCTACTTCAAATTGTTGTGCCTGACCTTGTCTCTACCACCTGGTATTTTAGGCTCAGCCTGGAACATGACAACTGCCAGTCCCCTCACCAGTTCTCACTGGTGCAAGGAGACCATCTCTGAACAGCTTTTCCAGTGATGCCTTGGGCCAAGGGACACACACACCTACGCTTGCAGTGACCTGGAGAACGTTAACCTTGAGCATGGCTCGTGTGGATGATCCAGGGGACCATCCCAGCCTGCCTGTTCCCACTTCCCTGCACAGCCCTGGAGCTCTCCCCAGGATCCCAACCCCATTCCTCTGTTCAGCAGGAACCAGAACCCCCTGTGCTTTTTCCTAAAGCAACTGAACGCTGCCTCTCAAGTCCTACCCTTTGCCTCTCCAGTCCCCTTGGGAGGCAGAACCAAGATGTCATCATTTTAATGGTCAAAGACCTCCCAGCTTCCCACTAACATTAATTCCTTGGTATTTGTTGCTGTGCTGTGCTGTTAGCTGAAGGAGCTCTTATTTCATACCACTAATATGCTGATGGACATCATCATCCTCACCATCATCATTTCTCCTCCTGCTTGTCAAGCTTCTTTCGGCTCCTCTAAAATGGGCTCATCATTCCTCAGGAATCACTGGACAGGCAGTTCCAGCCTGAGCTCGTCTCTCCCGAGCAGGGATGGCTGCAAAGGCACACGCTGGTCCCCAGGCCCGGCTCCTGCTCTCCCGGGATCCCGTCTTCTCCTCTCACAGCCGTGCCCTGCCCGCAGTCCTCCTCATCCTCCCGGCGAGCTCATGACCTCGGCCGGGCACCGGCGCTCGCCTTACACCGCGGAGTCTTTTCCCGAGTACACGACCTCGCTTTCCGTCTGATTAAATTTCACCCCTCCAGCCCTCCCGTCCCAACCCTCCCCGGCCCTGCCGAGGGCACCGAGCTGAAGCTTTGTAAGATTTTAGCAGCGCCCTGCGGCACTTGGTCAGCGTTAAAGGCCCGTCCGAAGCCGGGGCCGCCTCCTCCCCCTCTCCCGGCCCGTGTCCCCATCCAGCCGTGCCTCTGCCCCGCAGCTCCGCCGCAGACGCTCCAGACACGGCCCGGCACCGAGCCCCGGTCCCTCTTCGCAGAGTTAACCCGAGATTCGTTCCCAGCCCTTCCCTTCCCAGCGGCGCCCGTGTCCCCCGCGGTGCTCAGCGTCCCTCCACGGCTCAGTGTCCTCCCCACTGCTCGGCGTGTCCCCCTTGTCCTCGGTGTGTCCCCCCGCTGCCGTGAGGCCGCCGCGGCCTGTCCGGGGCCGGGGGGTCCCCGGGCCGCCCTCCCGCCGCCCCCCGGGCCCCGA